AACTGCAGGGGGGTGCGGGAGGCCAGGCGCTGCGGCCCCTCCTCCCCCCTCTTGAGGGACTGACTAAGACGAAAAGGGGGGGGGGGGTGAAGGGAGTTTGCTTCTTAACTGCTATATTGGAGGCAACAAAACTCTGTTTTTGTCCTCAGTGTGAACTAACAATGTATCAGAAGTTAACTGTTTGCAGAAAGTCTATTCCACTAGACAGACTAGAAGGATGTGCTGCCAGAAAACCCAGGTTGGGAGTAAAATGGATCAAAACAACTTTGTGCAGAAGTAAACTAATAACAGAACATGCCTTTGTAATAAACTATATTTTAAAGGGGATTCTTTTTTGTTAAGCTTAGTAAAACTTCAGGACATTGATATGTGATTTCCGTGTGTATTTCCCACATAGCTGTTAACTGCTTCTAACAAGCTGCTGTTTGTTCCCGAGGCTGATAAGGAAGGGGGGGAGGGAAGTCTGGCAGTGTAATTAACTGCACCAGCTGGGGACACCGAGAAGCTTCCTCTAAACAAGAAGTCAAAGTGATTTATATATACGATAAGACTGGAAGGGGAGGAAAAATACCTATTAAAGGCGCATGCTCCAAGCCGGGTTCATCTTGCGGACATCGAGGAAGACAAAAAATCTTCATCACAGAGACCCCGGCCCACAAAGAAACCCCCAGACCACGGACGCCGGTAACACAGCCCAGGAACATGCATGGGGGAAACTTTGCAACTGAGCATGTGCAAAAAGCACATGCCCCGGACTATGTATGGATAAGAACCTATGTACTGAGCATGTCTGGACGGGAAACCGGAGGGTTCAAAAGGGGAAGGTTGAGAGCTTGGGGGGGCGGTGGCGGCGAGCTGTGAGAGAACTTTCTTTTGTTCTAAACAGCCCCCTCCCCTCCCAGCGCGCCGATTGTTTATCTACCGCTTATTAATAAATTTGCTTGCTATTGTAAATTGGCTTCTTCAATTCCTTTAAGGCATCGCTGGTAACCTATAACAGCCTTAACAACAGCAAGTGAAGTAATCAAGACAAGAGGCTTTATCATCTCAAACACTAAGACAAAATTTTGGACTGTAACAAGACTTCCTGAGATGTTCAGGTCAGGAGTAAGTGAACAAGAAAGACCAATTTGTGGGAAAGCTTATGTCATGGTTAAAAACTATTTTAAAACAGGTTATCAGCCTTCCAAAGGCACTTCTAACAGAAGAATCAGACTCCAATCTGAATAATGTTATAGGTTACCAGCGATGCCTTAAAGAAATTGAAGAAGCCAATTTACAATAGCAAGCAAATTTATTAATAAGCGGTAGATAGACAATCGGCGCGCCGGGGAGGGGGGGGCGTTTAGAACAGAAGAAAGTTCTTTCTCAGCTCGCCGCCACCCGCCCCGAGCTCTCAAACTTCCCCTTTTGAACCCTCCGGTTTCCCGTCCAGACATGCTCAGTACATAGGTTCTTATCCATACATAGTCCGGGGCATGTGCTTTTTGTTACCGGCGTCGGTGGTCTGGGGGTTTCTTTGTGGGCCGGGGTCTCTGCGATGAAGATTTTTAGTCTTCCTCAATGTCCGCAAGATGAACCCGGCTTGGAGCATGCGCCTTTAATAGGTATTTTTCCTCCCCTTCCAGTCTTATCGTATATATAAATCACTTTGACTCCTTGTTTAGAGGAAGCTTCTCGGTGTCTCCAGCTTGTGTAGTTAATTACATTGCCAGACTTCCCTCCCCCCTTCATTATCAGCCTCGGGTACAAACGGCAGCTTGTTAGAAGCAGTTAACAGCTATGTGGGAAATACACACGGAAATCACATATCAATGTCCTGAAGTTTTACTAAGCTTAAAACAAAAAAAAAAAAATCTCCTTTAAAATATAGTTTATTACAAATAACACTATCAAAACATCAGACAGTGTAATGACTATTGTATTTTTATTTTTGTTATTGTGAGAAACAAAGTCTCGAATTATGATAGGTTTTTAAATAAGAGTTTATTATATGGAAAAAGCAAACAGCATGCTGGGCTACAGGAAAAATCCTGCACACTCCAATATAGCATTCGACTATTCTAGCTATCTCATGCATATTCATTACATCATACATTTCACAATACTATGTTAGGAATTTTAACATATGTTTATTTTCACAACTAAAGCTAGGTTGTTATCTCTACAACAGTGATAGTTTCCCTCTAATTCATACATTCTCGGACAACAAGGTGCCTAGAAGATCATTGACTTTGACAGAATTCTACCATAATTCTTTTTAGGAAAGTAGAGATGGTTTATGGCTTATGACCTTGATGACCTTACAAATGGTCTGCTTTATCTCTTTATGGGGGTACAATTAAATTTTACAATCTGTTTGTTTTATTATTTTATGAAACTCTAATAATTCATTTGGTTTTTTTTACTGACACGAATTATAACTGTGTTTATTACAGTTATCTTCTATACTTTGCTGCCTTTAGACTTCTTTTATTGTTAGTCTAATTTTTAGATCGCTGCCTCTTTCTAACAGGTCCAAGTGGTACTGAGTTTTCTCCTTTGCGGGTGTCCCATAAGAAGGGTGATATGGCAGCAGAATTGAAACATCATATTGTTTTACTGCATTGGTTTGAAGTTTGCAATATTTATATTTGCACATATTCTGTCCCAACAGTTTGACAGCATTTTGCAAGCACCATTTGGAATATCTGTGTCTTCTCTGAATACTGCAGTTTGTGAAAGAAATTCCTCCCTGGGATGGTTTGGAAATTCACATAGGATTTCGTGTAATAGTGAGAACAAGTTTATCTACCTTATTTGCCTCTAAAATGCTTTGCCATCCAGTGTCATCTAGGAGTGTGTGAAGTGCGGAGCTTCACAGAAGAGCCCTGTGTTATGAGGCAAAAGAGGGTAAGAAGGTGGCTGCGGCACTGCAACAGCACTAGTTCTGTGAACCCTTCCATGGGACCCTGAGACCTGGTTCACATCTTGTCTGTAATCTTTGAGACAAACTTATGAGAAATAAAATACAGTTTTTATTACAAACAGAATTATAGGTGTTTCATGAAGCTGTAAGGTACTGATACCAAGATTTTTCTTGCGACCAGGATAAGGGAAATAAAAGTTCATAAAAATTAAAACCTTTCTGGGCCATTTGGCCAATTTTGAACACAGGGGTTTTTCCTTTGGGCTAAGCACAAAGGAAGATCCATCATTTTTGACAGAGGACACCTCGTAGCCAATCGGAAGGAGGGAAAGACCCCTTTTCAGACAAAAGAAACCTTTTTAGGCAAAAATGAATATGTTAAACTAATCTAAAAAGGAGTGAAATTTTGTCAATCTATAAAATGCATGAAATTTAAACTCAAGGGGTCCCTTTTCCCCAGAAAGTCAATGTGAGACTAGACTCAGTGTGCAGAATAAATTCTTTTCTTTTGTTTCATGAGTTTTTGCCGTCTCTTTAAATTCAAAGGAGAAATTTTCCCCACAAACTGGTAACATCATTGTTAGGATAATATGTTTAGATCGTTTAGATTATTTGTTTAGATTGTTTCCTAGCTTTATTGTAAGACAGCTGTTTTGTTGGTGTTCACGTATACATGCACCTAACCCAATACATGAGGATATTTTTATACATGGAGGCAAGAGGTACCTGCACTGCCACTCCATGAGGTAAAGATGATTGACTGCAGTCTGGGACAGACTGTGGCAGGATAGAAATATGGGAATTTATAATTAGGGTGCAGTATTAAGGTATTAATGCAATTTTTCCATCAAACCATCCCCACTTGTGGGCTTGTAATCTGCTGTGGAATGTAGGAAGAAGTTAGAAAGTTCTTTCACAAGAATTTTCTTGCTTCATGCTGGACAAGGTCACAGCTAGATAGCTATGGCTTCATGGAGATTTATACCACGTGATCAGGAGCAGAAAATCTCACCAGGCTAATTTAGTAGAGATAAGATAGAGAACAGGTCTTTAGTGAAGGCCTTCTGGCGCAAGGAGTACAAAATGGTGCACACCCTGTCTCCAGGGGTTCCACAATTTATGGTCTGATCCAAGAACTATCAGCCCCCAGATCTGCCCCCCAGGCAGACCTCCCCAGAAACTGAGTCGGAGGTCCCAAGACTCATTTCTTCCTCATATTCTTTTTCTTCACAGCACATACTGTCTTTGGAGCTTCTCCAAGATTCCAGGCTTGAAGGTTGCTTTGACTATGATGGTATCTTGTTGTTCAGGCCAGGGGTGCATATGTTCTTAAACAGAATGTGTTTACTGTAGTCCTGCCTTGAAAGGAGCCTAAACAAACCTAAAGAATTTAGAAAATTTGATATGAAATGGGGGAATAGGGTTTGGTAAGTGTTAACTAATATTCTAAAGTGTGACAGACTATACAGCTACATTAAAATCTACAAAAAGCTAAAAATTCTAAAAATTCAAAGGCATCAAAAGAAAGGTAGTAGAGCCTAGTGCTCTACTTTCTGTAATTAAGAACTGTTTGTGAAAGCCTACATGTTTACTGTGGGAGTTATAAAGATTACTCTATTACCAATATGTGCGCATGATAACAGAGGAAGGGAAATATAAGGGCTTTATGGATAACACAGGGCCTATGCTCAGATGAGCCTGGCTATTTTTCATCCCCTGGAATCCATGTGAATATAAGTATTGGGAAAAATCTGGCAATATGCAACTTCCACCCTTGGATTTTCCCCACTATGGAAAAATCATTCAAAGAAAATCTCTTCCTCGGGCTTTCTCATTCCAATTCTTGATGATAAAGTCTTTGCTTCAGTTTTGAAGTTTACTACAGAAGGGACTATTATTTTTGAGTAACAGATCTGCAAAGAACCTCTCTTTCCCTTCACCTTTTAAAACTTATGAGAATTAATACTTTTTAAAGGAATGATCTGAAGACTCATGTTCACCTGAAGATAATACCTTAAAAGCACTTTCCTGTTAATATTTTGGCTAAAGAAAAAAGTGATTGAGTTGCTGTGTAACAAGAGAGTTTTGGTTTCATTCAATTGCTGTTTCTGTGTAACACTGTGGTCACAACCCACCAGTAGGGAGCGTGATGTTCATTGCAAATTCTCAAGCTGAACAGAGACACTGGACACGTGTTAGGAGACTGTTATGCTTTATTGTACAGTCATCATAACTCCAGCAACCAGCCCAATATTTAGACTCAAAAGTGTTGGCTAACAAGACCTTAATTTTTACAGTACACTTCAATAAGCTCTCAACCCCCACAAAAAACTACTCAGAGGTGCTGGCTCACAAGCCACAACACACTTCCACAAGCTCCCCACTCCCACAGCAAACCTCAGTATGGAGTACGGGATAGAATATGATAGATGTGCTTTGCCTGGGCAAAGCAAAGGAGGAGAGAAATAAAGATAGAAGAGGGAGAGAGAGAACAAAGAATATCACCAGTCCTTAGATCCTTGCCATGTGGATGGTCCAGAGCTGGGCCAGTGAGACTAAGAAAGTGAAAGAGAGGAAAAAGAGAGTGAGGGAGCCTGATCCACTTCCTTTTATAGTTAACCTGGTGCAACCTCTTATGTAGACTTTTCACTCCACTTTGCACACATGCAATCAGCCCTTTTTGAGTCCTCCAGGAGGTGAGTTGGGGGCGGAGGGGGAGTTGACGCAAGCATGATGAGCACAGTGTCTCAAGGCAGAACAGAAAGTTGGCTCAGAATAGTGTTACCCCACTTCTGCAGGGCCCTCTCTTCCGATTGCAACTTTCCCGTCGCAACTGTCAGAATGCTTGAGACAAAACATACTTATGCCTGGTCCTCCACACACAGGGATTGTGTCCTTGCACTGCCCCCTACACTGTAACATCTCCCCAGGTGGTCCAGCTGCCCCAGGCATGGTGCTGCCCATGTGCTGTGCTCTCCCCCCACTTCAGCTTTGTTCTCTGAGTCCCTTTTCCTGCCATGCACTGGGTAGGACCTGAAGCGAGCACCTCACAACAGTAAGGCCTCCCCGTATACCTCAGAGCCCTGCTTTCCTCCATGCTGTCCCTTCCTTCTGCTCATTCATTTAAATCAGTCCTTGGAGCAGTCTTAAAATTTGGCAGTTGTATTTTCCCTCCTCTTTCCAGTGGTTGTACTTATGAAGGCACCATGCATGACCAGTATCATGACACAACTGTGCAAACCAAGGTTGATTCACTGCCATAGCTGCATTCCAGGTTTCTTCTTTCAAGGTGTTTACTTGTGACCCTGCTGCAGCTTGAGGGGACAGGGAAGATGACTGATGACTTGGCTTCCCCTGTTCACTCATGATGATCTTTCTTTTATCCTAGTTTTTTGAGGAAGCTTCCCAGAGTGGTAGACTATCAGTCCAGCAAGTTAACAAAGGATATCTTTGTGGACTTGCTTCCTAGTTTCTTTCTGTTCTGCAAAACATAGTGGTTCAGACACATAAAGCAGGACAAATCATGGGGTTTAGCTCCACTTCTGAATTATGCTGATTTTGTGCAGTTACACAACCTAAGGCAGTCCTTACATATATAGATAAATTTCAGGAATCCTCTTTGTTTCAAGAGGTTAACTTGTGTCCCAACACAAAAGATAACAATTACAGTAGTAGTACTCAAGTTAGGATCCACCAAATAGGAGTGAAATTCAACACAAATTCAATAGCAAAATGGGGATTCGCAAACAGGATTGGGTTTACAAGTCTGGATGTGAACACAGAAAAACTGAGTTCCCCAAGAAATAAGTCTGGAGTGCTAAAATCAATCTCCAAGTATGTGCTCCTAAGCCAAATAACACTATTTTACTTGCAGGGCACTTCAATTACATCACAGAAAAAGGGACTGCAACGAGAAGGAATCATGCATTACCCCATATCTAATGCTGTTCTGTTTAAAAGAAACAAACACTGATTCTATTCTATGATTCTATGCTCTGTTGTGCTATTTGACTCTTCAGTATCTTTATTATGAAAATAACATTATAGAGGATTCAGTCTATTTTTGTTTTCTGAGATGACCTATAATAATTGCACAGATGCATAAGTTTAACTGCTCTCCATATAGAAAGGTGTGATTTAAGCCTTAGAGACTGGTGTTCATGCTCACTTGGAAAAAACAGTTGGTTGCTTAAAGGACATAAAGATTTGATTTGTTTTCCCTTATGAATAAATTAATAAAAATATTTCATCAAGAGAAAAATCAGTAAAATTTTGCATTTGTTTGTATTTTCTGATGTACAAACAATCAACTCAGTCATGTAAAAACCCTAATTCCACAGGTACTTTTAAATATGTGGCTAAAATTAACCACAGAGAAGTCTCACTGAAGTTAGGATGAAAACTTTAAAGAACCTTGTTGATCTAAAGAAATTCTAGCATATAAAAAACCAAATTTCTAAAAAGGAAATTAAAAGCTTCATGATTTCCAGGTTTTTGTTAGGCTTGTATAATTAAAATTATGCAACCAAACTTGGTCCGACAGACAGATATCCATGATGTTCGTCACACCCGCGTGATGCCTAGTGCAGAATGCCTTGTGCACTGCAAACTTAACCTCCACCTTAAGTTCAAACCTAAAAAGTGCGACATTCCTAGAAGGAGACTTCAAGTTAACAGTCTTCAAACAGCTACAGTGAGGGACAGCTTCCAGGCAAATCTTCAATCCAGGCTCAAAGTTCATTCCACAGATCCCTCTCCTGAAGTGCTTTGGTAACTTATTAAAAAAAGCATTCTGCAGTCCTCTGAAGAGTCCTTAGGGTTCTCCTTCAAGAAAAACAAGGACTGGTTTGATGAAAACAATCATAAGGTCCAGGAACTGTTGTATAAGAAGAGAACTGCTCACCAAACCCACCTTGCTCAGCCATCTTGTCATATAACAAAAGCAGCCTTTTGACTCGCATGCAGCAAGCTACAACAGAAACTTTGTGACAACCAGAACAAGTGGTGGACCAATCTAGTGGAAAAAATCCAATTATGAGCAGATACAGGTGACTACAGGGGATTCTATGAGGCTCTGAAAACAACCTACACACCAGGTTCAAAGCCCTTTACTCAGTGCAGATGGCCAAATGCTTCTCACAAGTAAAGTTTCCATTTTGAATCGATGGTCTGAACACTTTCAGACTCTCTTCAGTACTAGCTGTGTAGTTCAAGACTCAGCAATGCAGTACATTTCACAACAACCTGTGAAAACTGAACTGGATACTGCCTCCACCATGGGAGAAACTCTTAAAGCAATACAGCAGGTGAAAATTGGCAAGGCAGCTGGGGTTGACGGAATCCCACCTGAAATCTGGAATCACGGTGGCCATGCACTCCATGCTAAGTTTCACGAATTTGTGGTGCGCTGTTGGGAACGAAGTGAACTGCCTTCAGACCTTTGTGATGCTGTCATCATCACCTTGTACAAGAGGAAAGGAGATAAATCAGACTGCTCAAATTACCAAGGTATTACTCTGCTCTCCATTGCTGGTAAAATCCTAGCAAGAATTCTTTTGAACAGATTAATACCCGCCATAGCAGAAGATCTTCTACCTGAAAGCCAGTGTGGTTTCTGAGCCAACAGAGGTACCACAGACATGGTATTTGTTCTCAGACAACTGCAAGAGAAGTGTAGGGAACAGAACAAAGGACTCTATGTTACCTTTGTTGATCTCACCAAGGCTTTCGATACTGTGAGCAGAAAAGGTCTGTTGCAGATTTTGGAACGTTTAGGATGTCCTCCCAAGTTCCTCAAAATGATCATCTCGTTTCATGAGGACCAGCGCGGTCAAGTCAGATATGGTGACGCACTTTCTGAGCCGTTTCCAATAGCCAATGGTGTGAAGCAAGGCTGCATTCTCACACCAACTTTATTCACAGTCTTCTTCAGCATGATGCTCCAAAGGGCCACGGTAGAACTCGATGAAGAAAACGGTGTCTGCATTCGATATCATACCGATGGGAGCCTATTCAACCTAAGGTGACTGAAGGCCCACACTAAGACCTTAAATCATCTTGTCCGTGAGCTGCTTTACGCTGATGATGCCTCCCTTGTCGCCCACACAGAAGTAGCTCTGCAGCATTTAACATCCTGCTTTGCAGAGGCTGCTGAGCTTTTTGGACTGGAAGTTGACTTGAAGAAAACAGAAGTTTTTTATCAGCCTGCACCTCAGGAAGTCTCCCATCATCCCCATATCACCATTGGTGAAACAAAGCTCAAATCAGTCCAGCAGTTTAATTACCTGGGAAGCATCATCTCCTCAGATGGTAAGATTGATGCAGAAATAGAGAACAGGTTAGCAAAAGCATACAGAGCTTTTGGTAAACTCCATAAAAGAGTGTGTCAAAACAAACACCTGAAGAAAAGTACTAAGATCAGTGTTTACAGAGTCATTGTTCTGTCTACTCTTTTATATGGATCTGAATCATGGGTCATTTACCGCCACCACTTGCGTCTCTTAGAATGCTTCCATCAGCGCTGCCTCCGTACAGTCCTAAAAGTCCACTGGACTGACTATGTGACCAACACATCTGTCCTTGAACAGGCAACAGTCATGAGCATTGAGGCCATACTGCTGAGAACACAGTTGCGTTGGGCAGGGCATGTCTCCAGGATGCAGGACTACCGCCTCCCTAAGATCGTGCTCTATGGGGAACTTGCCACTGGCTGCCACAAGAGAGGAACCCCGAAGAGGAGATACAAGGACTGCCTGAAACAATCCCTCATCCTTGGTCATATTGATCCCCACCATTGGTCTGCTCTGACCTCCAATCAGGAGGCCTGGAGACACACCATCTATAACACTGCTGCTGCTTTTGAGAACACACACAGGATCACTCTTGAGGAGAAAAGACAACGCAGAAAGAATCGTGTCTCATCGATATCACCTGGGGAGTCTTTCTGCTGTACCTTCTGCAACCGGACTTGTCTATCTTGCATTGGCCTTTTTAGCCATCAGTGCGCTTGTAGCAAGCGTGGGTAGAGCCCTTCTCAAATCTTTGTTCACGAAGCCTAGCCATGATAAGACAATGTTTCCAGAGAACACAAAGGAAACTAAACATACGAAAGTTACTGTTTGATTTGTTTCATTCATTAAGCAAAAATGTATTGTCATTTTAACCTTTGATTCTAAATCTAATGTATCTGTGTAATATAATCAAAGTTAGCTGTAGGTAACCAATCTCTTTAATTTGACATGTTTCAGGCAACCTTTTATTATGTTTAAATACAGAATATTTTACTTATTGCAAAGTATCCTGCATAATACAGGTGTTCTACTATAAAAATCTTCTATCTTGCTTATAATGAAGTCATTCCAAATTTAAAATACCAGTATGCAGTGCTAAAATCTCCAACTGAAATTTAATGTAAAAATATCAGCACAAAACTCCTTTTTGAAGTCTGTTTATTGTGAGCAACCCAAAGACCTGTTTAATTACTAATAGTTGCAATATATTAATAGACTTTGCACCCCTACACTTGCTAATTCATACCATCTCGGGTATTTTTGAGATAAGAAATGTTAAGTAAGAAAACAGTAAGTATTCAAAGGGTTAATTTACTTAGAATAATGACAATAATAAATTCATTTCTTGCATCTTCTTCAGTTCAAAATCCAACTTTGAGACTGAGGAAGGTTTCCAAATCACAATTAAATATGAGTGGTCCTTTTAACCAGTAGCAGTTTGATTGCCAATGACTCGAAGAATCTCTTTATGAATGCTTGGTTCCTGTGTATTTATATTTGTATTACCCACTTGACCATCTTCATAACTAAAATAAGAGTACAGAAAATAAAATCAAATTAGTGTTTTAATTATCAACCTAAAAACAGTAAAAACTCTGTTTCATTCAATAATCAAAAGTGTTTATTCCATATGTTGACACGTTTCCTATTAAAATGCTCTGCTGCACTTCACTGTTATATGCAGATCCTAAACTCTATACAGAGTGAAGGGTGGTAGGGCTGCCCCTGTCATCAAAACCCACTAGGACCCAAAGGTAACTTCTGCTGGCACCTGGCCCACCAAGGCACATTAACATCTTCCCTCTTGCTGGAAGTATAAAGGAAAGGGCTGTTTCTGTTTCTGCAGATGCTCCCAGACTGCCCTACAGGAGGCTGGTGCCAAAGTATGCACAATGTTCCGCTATGCCTGCAGTACCTAAACTCTCACAAGTGGGCCTCCACTTAGTGGTGACACCATGAAAACCTCAAGGGTTTTTCTCCTTATAACTCACCTGCATTAAGGATTTGCATGGATAAAGCAATCCTGATCACTGAAAACCCCAGTGCTGGTAAATCTGAAGTCAGCATGCTCCTCCACTGCTCTGCATGACTCTCTTTGCAGGGCTGAAATCTCTTCAATATATAATTACAAGTCATAGGTGAAAGGGAAAATGCTCACATCATAGACAGGAAGACTTAATTGTATTCTTCAGCTTTAAAACATACACCCAAATAGGAGATATTTTACAATAATAATGGCCAGTCTTCGCGAGCGAAGATCCGGGGAAGGTCTTTACACCTTCCAACCTGCGCATTGGATTTTTTAGGTGAGACACAGTGTGCGCGGAACTGAGCCCACCCTTTAATCCTAAGGTTCATCTGCCGGGGCCAAGCGAGCTTGGACGGTGGCAGTGAGGTCCTCAGGACGTAGATGGGTTGCCTTTTAAGGGCTAACGAGCTCCATCAGCCCGGGAGTGGCCCTGACCGGGAATCGAACCCGGGTCTTGGCGGTGACAGCGCCACGCCCTTACCACTAGACCACCAGGGGCTCCAATTTTACAATACATGGGTAGATTTAATATAACATGAGGTAATGCTATAGAGTAGGAAAAATCAATAACTCTCCATTAATTTCTTCTATAACTAAACATCTCCCATGAAATCCTCATAGGCAAACTCAAGAAGTGTGGGTTGGATGAGTGGACAGTGGGATGGATTGAGAAGTGGCTGAGTGGTAGATTCCAGAGGGTCATGATCAGTGGCAGAGTCTAGTTGGAGGTCTGTCACTAGTGGTGTCCCCCAGGGTTCTATACCATTCCCAGTGTTATTTAACTTGTTCATCAATAACTTGGATGAGGGGGTAGAGTGCCCCCTCAGCAAGTTCACTGATGATACAAAACTGGGAGGAGTGACCGATACCCTAGAGTGTTGTGCGGCCCTTCAGAGGGACCTTGACAGGTTGGAGAAATGGACAGAACCATCTGAAGTTCAACAAGGGCAAGTGCAGGGTCCTGCACCTGGGGAAGAATAACCTCAGGCACCAGTAGAGGCTGGGGGCTGACCTTCTGGAAAGGAATGCTATGGAGAAGGACCTGGGGATCCTGGTGGACAACAAGCTGTCCCTGAGCCAGTAGAGTGCCCTAGTGGCTAAGAAGGTGTAACACACAGATAATATAGAAATACCAAAAAATATGTTTCACCATTGTTTCTGCCTGTCAAAAACTTCCTACCAAAAATTCTCTGTCAACTTTCTGCCAGAAGTTCTCACCAGAACATCCTGTTGGACTTTCCTGCCAAAAGATCCTGCTATTGTTTATGGTTATCATATCTCCTTGAACATCTGAATAGGGATACGTACCAAGAAACCACATACAACCTCCTTTGAACACTGTAAAACTTGAGGACAAATTTTGGAAAATCAGGGAAGAGGAAAGGGAGAGAGAACTGGTTACTGTAGCCGAGAATCTCTCCCCACCTCCCCTCACTTTAATGTGTATAAATATCTAAAGGGAGAGTGTAAAGAGGATGGATCCAGGCTCTTCTTGCTAGTGCCAACCAATAGAACAAGAGGCAATGGGCAGAAACTGATGCACAGGAAGTTCCACCTGAACATGAGGAAGAACTTCTTTACTGTGCAGTGACCACACACTGGAACAGATTGCCCAGAGAGGGTGTGGAGTCTCCCTCACTGCAGATATTCAAGAACCGTTCGGACACAGTCTTGCGCCATGTGCTCTGGGATGACCCTGCTTGAGAAGGGAGGATGGACCAGATGACCCACTGTCGTCCCTTCCAACCTGATCCATGCTGTGATTCTGTGATCTACTAAACCTTTGCCACTAACTTATACATACATTTCCTAACAAATCTAAGTACAGAGATAAATAAAAAATGAAGTGATACTTTAAAGAATTAGGAAGAAACATCTTTTATGTACTTCATTTACAGCTATTGGAGGGAACATGGGGTAAAAGGGCCTAGAATGGACATATGTCAAATATTAAAAGAAACTTTGTACTCACACAAAGAAAAATCTTGTACACACATGATCCGTATTTGGAACTACCCATATCTCTCCATATTTGTGCAGATTGGAAGAAGTTATCACTATTAGGGGAAGAATAAATTCCATAGTGATGAAAACATGACTGGAAAATATTGCTTTAAAATATTTTCTTTTTTTAAATGCTTTAAATAGCCTTCTGGGAATGTGTAGTTTTCCAGTGCATGTCTGTGTCATGGCATAGAATCTGAGCTGGCTGCTAGAACAGGGAAATGAACCTGATTCTTGTTTCCAAAATATGTTATATTTTCCAGAAAACACAGATGTATGGCAACCAGTTCTTAATTGGAATGCAAAATGAAATAATATACTTATTAAAAACTGATTTTAAATGACCACAGGACTTTTAAAGAGCATCTCAGTCAACTAATCAGCCTTTGGAACTGAGGTATTTGTGTTTGATGATGGCTGAGCCAAAAATAAGATATGAAAGATAAAACCTGAAACTGAGATGCCACAAATTCGGAGTTTGCAACAATACAAAGTATTTTTTAAAACTTAGCATAGCAATTATGACTCAAGGGGTTCACAAAGCTTGCCCAAACTTGCCCAAGAAGACAGTAATGTATTGTTGATAGGTTATTTATGAGCAAAATTAGGACAACACATGAAAGAAACCTTTTTATTGCTAGAAAGAATCTTTACTATCAATCTATATAGAACTGAAATTAGCTTAGTTGGTTAGAACATAGTGGTAATAACACCAAGATTGTGAGTTTGATCCCCATATGGACCATTCACTTAAGAGTTGGACTCAATGATCCTTGTAGGTCCCTTCCAACTCAGAATATTCTGTGAAATCATTTGAAAAGATTTCTATGAGTGCATTTAAACACTACCATGAATAAATGCATATTCAATTTTTTCCCATATCTTCTATGAGTTGTAAATTTTAACAAACATTTTTCTATTGTAATTGATTTTATTTAAAATATATATTAACCACCTCCTCTAAACACTTATTTTCACAGAAAAATGAAATAAATATGAATTACATAAAATATATTTTGCCAAATATTTAAAATTCATCCTTATAGAATCCATAATCCAGTAATAAATATGAGGAAAGAATAACATAGATGAAAAAGGCCTTGGGAAAGACGTGATTTATATTTAGAAACTTCAGACATTGAAGACCAAGTAAATTCTAGTAAACCCTAGATTCATTTCATATCTTCTTCTGAAAGTTTTAGAACTAAACTTATGCATTTTTCCGTCCAGATCAAATTGCATTTTCCTGTTGACTGACATCTCCTTAATCATATTAAATATTTCACTTTAAGCATATATAGCCTAAAGTTTCCATTTTCAAATAATTCTTTTCCACTATCTATCTGAATTTTTACTTTTAAAAATAAACAAATGCTCAAAATGGAGGGCAAACTGAGTTTGATATAATTTCTTTTTGTTTGGTCAACGAGACTAATTACCAATTACTGGCACAATTATTATTTAAATTTCATATTTTGTTGTTCTCAAAACCTACTGAGGTTTCATTAATTATTAATAAAGAATAGACAAGTCTTTCAAGAACGACCATGTTCATATGCACTGGATTTTAACTTCACAAAATTTCTGGAGCCTGAGAAAAATGAACTACTTACCAGACAAAAAATATATTTGCCTGAGAAGTGAAAAAATATTTGGAAATTCAATAGGAAAGCTGTTTCTGACTTGTAGGTGTTTAATTGCTTGTCAAGAGCTTGCAAGAAGTCACTATTTCAAATAAAGACTATGACTTAGTTTATATTGATGGCTTAGGAATATGATCACATTTGAAAGACAGACCAGATGATCAGTTACTATGTGCATTTGATTATTTCATGAAAATTCAGCAAGTGTTGCAGGTTTTGTTTGAAGAGGGAAATATTTTGAACTGAAATATAAAGGACAGGTATTAAGTAAGTACTTGTACACTTAACAGTATTCTTTTACCTAAAAACAATACTGGAACTAAAGGTCTCACCAATTTGCATCCAGGAACACTGTGTCCATGACTAAAAAAGTTTTTCAAGGGCTTTCAGCTTACCTTCACATAAGGCTATGCATTTTAAGTTACAGCTTTGCAAAAATTGTGACTGTTGTCCTTTCTTCTGTAACTGAGATGTAAAAACAAGAGAAAACTTATAGAGGCAATCTATAAAACATTTCTATTGCATTTCTAAATGTAATAGAATTTCTAAAAACATTTATAAGATTTTTTTGGCATATCATGGGAGGGATTTGAGTTCCTTTATCCAGAAAGAAAAGTTCCTAATTATTACAGAATGAATAATATTAAAAATACCAGTTTTACTGACAAACAAATTGATAGTAGAAAAAAAATAATTTCAAGGTGAATTGGATCATGGATTCTTTGGGCACTACCCTGATATTTTACTGTCCTTGTTTCTGTGGGCTTTTGCTGTTACACACCAATCTGTCTCCAAAGCCAAATTATTCTGTAGTTTTTACATGTTAACTATAGAGACAGATAGATTTCTTTTTCAAAATGTAGCCCTACACATAACTGCTATGAGTTTGCTTTAGATAAAGCAGAATCCTACTGGTTTAATGTTAAAACTATGAAAAGGAAAAACTGACTTGCTATAAATTAAATGCTACTCATTTTTCAGTAATAACCACTCTCAATTTTGCATCATTCTTGTGAAAGTCTAGAACTCAGAAAGCAAGGGCTTGCTAAGGGTAATAATGCAATCTGTATTTAGGTTTTTTCTCTTCCCAAATACTGCTACTTTGTTGTGAGTACCTTCCAACTCAGGATATTCTAATGATTCTATGATAAGAAGGGCACAGGGATCTGCCGTATACTCTGTAAATTGTTACTAAAAGCAGTTGGACTGTATTTGATGGTTGCAGTCTCTGAAGTTGTTGATTTCATTCAATAAAATAAAACTGTTAACTTTCCCAAAGGGAACATTGCCTCCTTTTAGGCTATCAAGTTCCCAAACATAAAACTATAAATCTTCCAGACATGGTTGATGTACTGTACCTGTGATGTATTACTGCCTTTACTGCCCGAAACTGGTTCATCTTTAGCTGACACCTTCTGCTGCTTCTTGTTCATTCCTAAGAATATTAAAATCATGTAAGATACCCTGGCATATAAATCCCTTCATAAGCAAAGTTAAGTATGAAGACTGGAACAGGTAGCACAGTGGGAATCACAGCCCCTTGCATGGCAGTCAAAAAGTTAGTTAAATTTGTCATAGAATATTTTGATTTAATATAATCTTGGGGTCTTGAGACTTCTGGTACCACTCATAGGATCCAGAGGAGGACCAGAACCTCGACCAGACTGGGACCACCACTCTCGACCAGACTGTGACCACTACTCTCAACTGGACTGCGATTATCACTCGCACCAACAGGTTCTTCTGCTCCTTTTATTTTTAGGCTCAGGGGACCCACATGGGGCTCAGCACAGGGGCCAACAAACACCAGTCTTTTTGTGCCCCAGGGTGCTGGGTTATACATCTGGGTTTTTGTGGGTTATAACCAATTGTTCATCTGTAGAATTGTATTTATTGTATTATTTTTCTTAAATTGTAATTCTGACTTATAATCTCTTTTGAGTTGGGTTCATTTCTCCTGCTGGTTTACCTTTAAACCAGCACATTTTTGGCACCCAACGTGGGGCATGAGAGAGAAGTCAGAATCACAATTTCATTTTAAGCATTTGTGTATTTGGGTACAGAAACTCCCTGATCACCATGTTGCTTAATGTATTCATGTAGATGTTGTATCTGAGCTGTTTCATGTTTCCGCATATGGGGAACTATTTACCTATTTCGATGCTCTCTTAAAGACCAGGGAGAGGGATCAAAATTGCTTTATCAATATACTATGTTTATCTCATCATAACATCAGAAGCAGTGAGTTTCATTGTGAATGTGTATTCAGTTTTGTTTGCCTGTCCTGGTTTGGGTTGCTACCTCTGAAACTTCATTAAAAATCTCACCCTGCCTTTTGGGGGAACAGGAGGGAACGGTTGTTTCCAACCTTTCACCTCCTCCTCCTCCTTCAGACCTGCTACAACAGTCTTTGAAAATATTGAGTTTCCTTTGATGTTAAAGACAGCGTAATGTTGTTGTTACTCTTGCTTTGTCTGCTCTGTACTGTCTACACCATGCTTAGGGTCAGAACAGGATCTTCTAGGGAGATTGTCTGGAGGCCTGCCATGGGAGTGGATAATGTTGAGTGGCACGGGAAGTGGGAGGACATCGGCCAGTATTTGGAGAAGTTCTCTCCTCCAATGATCTGGAAATTCACCCCTGAACAACTGCAGGACCCTGTTAGTGTGATAATACTGGTCAAGGAAAAATGCTCTGGCAGCTCCAGAGATGACCAGCTCACAACAACCTGCTGGGCCCTGGTCACTGCCTACTGGACACTACTTGGCATGGTACAGCACCATCAGAGGGAGGAGAGAAGGAGCAAATCCACAGGCACCATGTCCACCCAAACCACGGCTGAGTCAGAGGGAAAAATAAATCCAACCAGCACCACATCCACACAAACCATTGAGGAGCCAGAAGGACAACTGAAACCAATAGCAGTCCCCCCTGTCCAGAAAAGGAAATCAAAGACTAAATCAGTTCATATAGCAAATGATGATGAAGAGACAGGACCTTCATGTTCAGTGGAGGAGACAGAGCCAGAAATAATCACTCGGTCCCTATCTCTGGGTGAGTTATGTGAGCTCTGGAGAGAGTTCAATCAACAGGCAAATGAGTCCATTCTGACCTGGTTGCTCCGAATCTGGGACGCAGCGGTTAATGGTACAGTTCTAGATGGGAGTGAAGCAAGGCAACTGGGATCCCTGTCTCGAGATGTAGTCATTGATCAGGGGATTGGAAAGAGGCAGGAAACTCTCAGCCTCTGGCAGCTACTGTTGTCCAGTGTGAGGGAGAGATATCTTTGTAAGGAGGACCTCCACAGACAGCAAGGACAGTGGAACACGATGGAACAAGGTATCCGGTGCTTAAGGGAATTAGCTGTACTGGGGATAATCTTTTCAGAGGACGAAAGACTCCCTAAAAGTCCAGAAGGTGTACAGTGCACATCCCAGATGTGGTTAAAGTTTGCACGGCTTGGGTCAGAAATGTATTCCCACTATGCCATGTTGCATTGTAGTGAGGGAGAGGACAAGGTGGGTGTGCTGGTTAGTAAACTCTGGATTTATGAAGACACTGTCACTGCCCCATTATGAGCCCATGTCTCATCTGTGGAAACTAAACTGGCTGAACATGTCCAAAGCTTGGAAGACAAGATTGAAGAGGGCCACCAGAAGTTAAGAGAGGAAATTAAGGAAGGGATCTTCCATATCTCCCTAGGAAAAACAAGAGTTTCTGCTATCCAGAGCAGGTGTCCCCCAGCTAAGGAGAGAGGGTACACTCTACGTGGCAATCTATGGTTTTACCTCCATGAGTATGGAGAAGATATGAGGAAGTGGGATGGAAAACCCACCTCTTCCTTAGCAACCCGGGTATGTGAATTGAAAAGAGGAATAAGTACCACAAGGAACTCTTCAAGGATGAATGCTGCTCCGGTCAGTATATATACTCCAGACAGTATAGGAATGATGATATGTCTGATCCTCTTGAAGGGACCTCCAGGTCATACTTACAAGAAGAGAGCAGTGAGTACCATGACCAGCACTAGGGGTGCCCTGCCTCTAGCCAGGTAGAAATTAGAGGAAATTAGACAGTTGAACACCTTACCTGGTCTCTCAGAGGACCCTTCTGCTGTGGGACCGCTGAAGGTTGAAGAACAATTGGTACCCACGGCCGCAGCAACAGTACACCGTCTGGCAATACTGCACCAGTCGAGACTCCGTGGCTCCTATACATAAGATGATCTGTGAACTGGAGACCCAGGGGGTGGTCAGCAAGACTCGCTCACCCTTTAATAGTCCATATATGGCCAGTGCTTAAGTCCAGCTGAGAGTGGAGGCTGACGGTGGATTACCGTGGACTCAATGAAGTCACACCACCCCTGAGTGCTGCTGTGCCGGACATACTGGAGCTTCAGTACAAGCTGGAGTCCAAGGCAGCCAAGTGGTATGCTACCATTGACATTGCCAATGCCTTCTCCATTCCTTTGGCAGCAGAGTGCAGGCCACAATTTGCTTTCCCTTGGAGAGGTGTGCAGTACACCTGGAATTGGTTGCCCCAGGGATGGAAACACAGTCCCACCATTTGCCATGGACTGATCCAGACTGCACTGGAAAAGGGTGAGGCTCCAGAACATCTACAGTACATCGATGACATCATCGTATGGGGAAACACAGAGGGAGAAGTCTTTGAGAAAGGAGAGAAGATAATCCAGATTCTCCTAAGAGCTGGTTTTGCCATTAAACAAAGTAAGGTCAAGGGACCTGCTCAGGAAATTCAGTTCCTAGGAGCGAAGTGGCAAGATTCCAATGGAGGTGATTAACAAAATAGCAGCCATGTCCCCCGCAATCAGCAAGAAGGAAACACAGTCTTTCCTAGGTGCCGTGGGCTTTTGGAGGATGCATATCCAGGAGTACAGTCAGACTAAGTCCTCTCTAGCTTGTGACATGGAAGAAAAATGATTTCCAGTGGGGCCCTGAACAACAACAGGCCTTTGAATAAATTAAACAGGTGATTGCCCATGCAGTAGCCCTTGGGCCAGTCAGGACAGGACAGGACATGAAGAACATGCTCTACACTGCAGCCAGGGAGAATGGCCCTTCCTCTGGCAGAAAGTGCCTGGGGAGACACGAGGACTGAAAGAGAGAAGTGGTCAAGACTACACGGACTCATGGATGGTGTCCAATGCTCTGTGGGAATGGCTAGAGAGATGCAGAAGGACCAACTGGCAGTGCAAAGGGAAACCCATCTGGGCAGCTGAGATGTGGCAGGACATTGCTGGCCGGGTAGAGAAGCTGAGCGTGATGGTCCGTCACGTAGATGCTCATGTACCCAAGAGTTGGGCTAATGAAGAGCATCGTAACAATGAGCAACTGGACCGAGCTGCCAAGGATAGTAGGAGACTCCCTGAGCTAATTCAGCCCTCAGATTATTATCCACTGTTGGTAGTTCAGGCTGGCAGCAATGACATTAATGGAAGAAGTACCAGGGTGATTAAAAAGGATTTCAAGGCACTGGGTAGATTAGTTAATGGGACAGGAACACAGGTGGTGTTTACTTCAGTTCTTGCAGTAGCAGGGATGAACGAGGAGAGGAGTAGGAAAACCCATCTCATCAATAGGTGGCTAAAGGATTGGTGCCACTAGCAGAATTTTAGGTTTTTTGACCATAGGGCAAATTCCATGGTACCTAGTCTCCTCAAATCAGATGGGCTTCATCTATCTAGCAAGGACAAAAGGACTATAGCCCGTAAGATGGCATGGCTGATCAGGAGGCCTTTAAACTAGGTTTGAAAGGGGAAGGGATTGAAACTGGGCTCTCCAGAGTTGAGCCTAAGGGTGGAAAGCCCGGGTCAAGAGTGAAACCATCAGCCCAGCTGAAGTGCATGTACACCAATGCACGCAGTATGGGTAACAAACAGGAGGAGATGGAAGCCATCGTGCAGCAGGAAAGCTATGATGTAGTTGCCATCACAGAAACGTGGTGGGATGACTCACATGACTGGGTTGCTGCCATGGATGGCTACAAGCTCTTCAGAAAGGATAAGGCAAGGTAGGAGAGGTGGAAGGATGACTCTGTATGTTAGAGAGTCTCTTGACTCTAGAACTTGAAGTCAGTAACAATAAGATTGAGTGCCAGTGGATCAGACTCAGGGGAAAGGCCAACAAGGCTGATATCCTGGTGGGAGTCTGTTACAGACCACCCAACCAGGATGATGAGGATGATGAATTATTCTACAAGCAGTTAGCAGATGCCTCAAAATCACCAGCCCTTGTGGGTGACTTTAACCTGCCGGATGTCTGCTGGGAACTCCACACAGCAGAGAAGAGGCAGTCTAGGAGATTCCTAGAGCGTATAGAGGATAATTTCCTGCTCCATCTGGTAAATGAGCCTACCAGAGATGGGGCCCTGCTAGACCTTCTGTTCACAAACAGAGAGGGGCTGGTGGGAGAT